CAACATCTATGGCTATGTTCAGCCTCTGAATGAAGGTTAAGTTCTTTGCTCCTTCGTTGAAATCAGTATGACTTGGGTGTAACCAACTGTCCAGATTTCCATTTGGCATGAACTCAAAGACCAATGCCTTGAATTCATTCCCTTTGAAATCTATGATTGAACAAGACGTAATAATTTTCACCAAATTCCTGTGCCTCATGTTCCTCAAAGCTTCACATTCAGTCAAGAAACTTCTTTCTGCTCCCAGTTTTTGAAGTTTAAGGACCTTCACAGCAATGGTTTTTACATTGTTAGTGATTTTGAGAATCCCTTTATAAACAGAACCAAGGTTTCCCTCACCAACCAGATTCACTGAAGAGAACCCATCAGTTGCCTCAAGAAGCTCTGCATAGGAGAGCTTTAGATACTGCTCTTCCAATGGTGAGGCTGAACAAGTTTCCTTCTTGGACCTTCCGGTTCGATAAAAAATAGCATAAAAACAAGCAGACAAGCAAACAACAGCAGCAGCAGAAGCAACGAGAGCAAAAATAATTACCCTGCGCTTTCCATGGTTCTTCGAAGCTTTTGTAGGACATGCAGGCAAATTAAGTGACCTAACTCCCCCACAGAGCTTAGTATTTCCAGTAACTGAAAATGCACTCGTGTTTGTGAAAACTCCTACAGTTGGAACTTCACCCTCAAAATTGTTAAAGGAAAGGTTGATGTATAAAGCATAATCCAACTCACCCAAAAAACTTGGAATCTGGCCTGATAAATTATTTCGTGAAAGATTTAAGTTCCGAATACTTTTTAAGTTTTCAAAGGATGGAGGTATTTTTCCAAGGAAAAAATTACCTGCCAGCCTGCCAGGTTAAGGGATTGTAGCTGTAAACACCTTCCAAGAGTGTTTGGAATCTCTCCAGATAATTTGCTTTCTGAAATGTCCAATAATATGAGATTTTCCAAATTGCCCACTTGAGGAGGTAATGGTCCTGTCAAGTTGTTTCGAGCCAACCCGAGTCCAAGTGAAAGTGAAGAGAGGCCAATCACCCCTTCAGGTATCTTACCAACGAGGCGGTTGGTTGAAAGGATCAGTTCCTGCAGAACTGTGCAATTACCTACGGAAGACGGGATGGCTTGCTCTAGCATGTTTGCTTCTAAAATCAGACGACTTAGTAGTGTCATGTTGCCAATCGAGGAAGGAATTTTTCCAGAGAATTTATTGTCTGCCATGATGAATACTTGCAACCTGGAAAGCTGCCCAATTGAGTCAGGAATGCTGCCTGTGATCTCATTGGAATACAATGCCAGAAGCTCTAAATTGACAAGGTTCTCAATCCCTTGAGGTATATTTCCTGAAAGATAGTTACCATCCAGTCTGAACAATAGCAGATTGCTAGAAAGATTTGCGATGGACCCAGGCAATACTCCCTTAAGTTGGTCTTGAGGCAACCACAATATCCTCAAACTACTGCAATTACTCAGAGAAGAGATAAAGTCTACATCTCCCTTCCCTGTACCTACAGGGTTACCACCAAAATGTAATAGTGGCAGCTGCTCCAGGTTCCCCAGATTCAGTGGTAAAGGACCAGTGATAGCATTTTGTGAGATGTCAATCTGAATAAGCCCAGAAGCATTGGCTAGTGATGCTGGAATTGGACCTGATAATTGGTTACCTCCAGCAAAAAAACCCTCCAGTTTTGGCAGGGTCAAGCCTATATCAGATGGTAGCTGCCCCCTTAATTGGTTAAAAGCAACAGAAAATAATGAAATAGATGTAATATTGTAAAGTGAGAAAGGAATTTCACCAGAAAGTCTGTTCAAAGACAGCTGAAGCATTTCTAGCCTGATGTGTCCAAGTTCAGCCGGAATGCTTCCTTCCAGATGGTTAGTGGAAATAAATAGCTGACGGAGA